TCAATTTTTCGCTAAAGCCTTGTACTCACGTTTAAAAATAGTCAAATTAAAACTTAGCAGACAAAATTACTGAAACGAGAAACAAATCCGCAAAGTGAATGGATGACATAATAATAGGAGGAATAATATCTGCAATTGTAATATTAGCAATATTTTTAATAATAATAATATTACTAAACAAAAAGCGCAGAAATTCTGTTGGAGGGGCCATCGACGAAGACCAACTAATGAAAAATTAAAATAGAAGACTAAATAGCACGTATAAGCTTTTTGGTTGAAGAAAATTTTATTGTGATTAGACTTATTGGATATCTTTACGTGCATCATTAAAAGTATTAATACTGTATCATTACTTGAATTATACTTATCAGGTCCAATCTCTACACGTACTTAAGCCTATTACTTTACAATTTCGAGTGGTTATCATATATCATATAGATTTAATTTAGAATTCTATGCATATTGCTATTGGAGTTTTCATGTTGCTATTAAAGTCTATATATGAATTTTTGATCGACAGTTTAAACAATTTAGATGTCGATATATAGAATGCTCTAGTATTTTTTGTATTCAAAAAATTTTTGAATTCGACTTCTTATTAAAATTTTGCCGGTAAATTTGTAACTCTGATGTTGGTGTGATTAATTAGTAAACATAATTTTGGTAAATTATTTCATAACATAATTTTGGTAGAGTTATTTCGTAACTCTGGTAAACATGATTTTGGTAGAATTAATTCGTAACTCTGGTAAACATAATTTTGGTAGAATTAATTTGTAACTCTGGTAAACATAATTTGGTAAAATTAATTCGTAACTCTAGTAAATATAACTTTGAATTATTTTGTAACTCTGGTAAACATAATTTTAGTAAAATTAACTGATTGGTTGTTCATTTTTCGGGGGAGACTTTAGCTGGGGGTGATTTTAGCCAAAGAATCAACTTCGAACAGCCTTATGCAATGGCTCAAAGTTTTTATTAATACTATCGAACCATTTGTTACTATTTGGATTTTCGTTTTTTCAGAATTATAAAACTTAATAATCAGTTATAGTCTTCTGAAAGAGCATTAAAAATAAAATCTGCAAGGTTTTCTGGTGCAATTACATTTCATAATTAGTATTATAATTGTACATTCTTTTTTCACTTATTATTAGCGGAAATTTAGTTTTGACAATTAATTGACAATTAATATATTGTGTTTATTGGATTTTATGCTTTTAAAAGAATCACTTGGTTTGCCGAGATTGCGATAATCGCTTTTCATTTTGAAGAATTGAAGAAAAAAAATCACTTACTGAATCAATTAATATTTTACTAAATATTATTATCATGATTAATTGACAATATCACATGATTTTCAGCGATTTTACTCTGGTCAATTAATTTGTAACTCTGGTAAAATAATTTTGGTAAAATTAATTCGTAACTCTAGTAAATATAATTTTGGTTCGTAACTTTGGGAAACTTAATTTAATTCGTAACTCGTAAACATGATTTTGGTAAAATTAATTCGTAACTCTGGTAAACATAATTTTGGTAGAATTAATTCGTAACTCTATAAATTAATTCATAACTCTGGTAAACATAAATTAATTCGTAACTCTGGTAAACATAATTTTGGTAGAATTATTTCATAACTCTGGTAAACATAATGATTTGTAGAATTAATTTATAACTCTGGTAGTGTTCTGCAAAAGATACCGATTCATGTGAAACACTAAACTCTGGTAAACATAATGTTGGTAGAATTAATTCGTAACTCTGGTAAAATTTTGGTAAATTAATTCGAAACTTTAGTAAACATAATTTTGGTAGAATTAATTCGTAATTCTGGTAAACATCATTTTGGTAAAATTAATTCGTAACTCTAGTAAATATAACTTTGGTAGAATTATTTTGTAACTCTGGTAAAAATAATTTTGGTAAAATTAACTTGTAACTCTGTTAAACATAATTTCGGAAGAATTAATTCGTTACTTTGGTTGGTAGAATTAATTCGTTAATCTGGTAAACATAAATTAATTCATTACTCTAGTATACATAATTTTGGTAGAATGAATTCGTTACTCTGGTAAATATAATGTTGGTACAATTTTTGTAAACATAATAATTGGTAGAATTAATTCGTAACTCTGGTAAACATAATGTTGGTAGAATTAATTCGTAACTCTGGCAAACATAAAGCGTCAAATTAGTTTACCATAGTGTTTGTATTTTTTTAAGTTAACTTCAACCATCTAGTTTAGGCCAAATTAAGCTTAATGTAGGCCAAGATATTAAGCTATACAGTGTGGAGTTATTTTGAGATGATACAATAAGACTTATTTACTTTGTGTAATTATAAAATAATTCTTTACATCATCAAATTAAAAATTTTATTTTTCGCTTCGTTGGTTTAGTTCGATATCATGTAAACCATCTCTATCTTGTTCCTAACCCTTTCTTTTTTTAGAAAGTTTTTCAATGTTATTATTAGTTATCAATGTTGATTTTTCAAAATTGATTTTTTTGGGTTGCTTTTTTTTTAATAAAATAACGCGCTGATATGAACTTTGATTCTATTAATCGATTATTTAAAGATTGTAAGGATTTATTCTTAAATATTATTTGATATACTCATCAAGAAACATAATCTAATATATGGTATGTCGTCAATTAAAAGGGCCCACGAATATAGATGTATTTTGCAAATAAAATAGTCAAGAGTCTTTTTTTAATTAAAGTAGTAGTCTATAACGAATATTTAAAGAACTAATTTTTCTATGTGTTCATTAACAAATCTTCATAGAATGATTTAAATATTTAATGCTAATACTGTGCATATTTTAAGTAGATATTTGTTGGATCACGGCAAGTTTCCATACATGATTTATCATGTGATCATAAACCAATAAAACAAAGAAACTTCATTATAGAAATATTATTATTAATTTTATATAATTCATATAAATACAATCTAGTAGTGATGTGACCTGAAATCTATTGGATTCTATTTTCATATTAAATTTAGTGAATTTAATTTGAAAATAGATATTCAATGGATTTGGGTCAAGAGAAAGCATGTGAGAGCCAATCACATTCAACACATATGGGCAGATTTGATTCCAAATGTGATTATCATGAAATTCACGCTGATTGGCTAATTTACTAAAAATTTAAGTTTTGCAAAAGTGATACAATAATTTTTTTTAAAACATAATGTAGTTTGATATTTCATGTTTATGTTCAACAAGGCTTTAGCTTTTCTGATCCTCTTTTGATCCTATTTACTTCAGAACTTTTACTAGTGACATTGTCAATGAGTAAATCATGTAAAAATACAGGTTTTGTAGCTTTTTATTGTTTGAAGGTAACTTATTTATACACTGTAAAGTACTTTAATACTTATCGTTATTGTTGCGAAATCAGTTAACTAAAAACGATACCAAAATGTTTACGTAAGCTTCGAAGAATTTTTATAATATTGCTATATTACTGTATTAATTGTCGAATATATGTAAATGTTAGTTTATTCAAATATGCATAAGTAATAGTTTAATTTATTAATAAAATAGAATAAAAAATATAATACGTAGATAGCAGAAAAGTAGGGCAGAATTATTATCTAAAATATAATTAAGCTTCGCTAATAATATTACTATCATTTATTCATTTATTCATTTATCGATACGTATTAATTTTTTATTAGTTTGGTTAGTGATCGACATATCACGCAAATATCACGGTCAAATTTTTTGATTGGTTAATGATATGTTTTGATTATCGTATGTGATAAAATCGAATTTTGTGACATATTGAATGGAGTCAAATTCACTTGTAGAATGTGATTTCCTTATTTTTGTTTGCTTGAAGAGCATCAGTAAGTACTTAAAAAACTACTTGGTATAGTATTTGCTATTTGAGATTGTTAGAGTTGTTAAGGTAGTAGCTAAGGTTGTTATAGAGATAATAAAGATAGTGTGATAGAAGGAGAAGCAGTAGATATTTTGTATAATTGTTCTAATTATATTCAGATAATTTAGAGACTGTAGATTTATTAGTATAAGAGTGAAAATGCCAAATTTTTGATTACAGATTTTTTTTAAATTCATTTGTTTGTAAGTTATAAGGATGTTTCTTGCTGTCCGGTACTGTACAATTTCTATAATTTATACATGAATTAGACTAGTTTTTTATATTAGCGTTAACATTATTACCAAGTTTGGCTTAAATGCATTACAATAGAATTATAGAGTTTAAAAACCGGCGCTAATTAAACCATTTGTTGGAATATTCCCATATGATACTACCATGAAATTAAAAAAAAAGTTATTGAATAAATAAATTAAAATTTCAAATTGTGCAAAATTAAAAATATGTAATTATGCAATTATTTTATATAGAATTCATAAAAAAAACAACTTGAGTTAGATTGTTCTGACAGAAGTATTGTGAAATTTATTAAAAAGAATACGAAATTAAGCAGAGACCATTAATATTACACATTAAAACTGATGAGAGATTATATCAATCATAATCGAAATAATTTAATTTGTAATTAATCACAGGTGAGAAGGATTCACTTTGGATCGGGCACCGTCTCTGTATTTACAACCGTTTAAATCTCATTATTTATAGACCATATGAAAATCAGATAATATCAGCATTTCTGAAACTATTACTACTGAAAAATTGGAATTAGTTTTCAAATTGTATAATGCTGTATACGGAATTTTAATTGAATTTTCTATTAAAAAAAATTTAATGCAATTGAATCAATTACTGACTAAATATAAAATTTTTTAATTAAATTTTTTCTATTATTACATTGTGATAAATTTTTATATCTTTAGAAAGAAAAAACTCATTTATTTTAAAAAGATTCAAACGAAAAAATGAATGAAATAAGAGAAGAACACAAATAATTATTTAATAATACTAGTGAATATGAAAAGTTAAGAGTAAAATGTATGAAACTTCTTGTTGAAAAAAACCGAGAGGAAATTTGTAAAAAAGTAATGAAAAAGTTCCAAGAATTGTTATTCTCGCTTAACAAAAAACCTACATTTAACAATAATGATGAGAAAAATATTTATAAACTCTGTGAAATGATATTAATTGATAATTGTAATATTCCTGTTGAATTAAATATGAATATAGAAGAAGAAAATCAGTATTTAGAATTCAAAAAAATGATTGAAATACCAAATAAAGAAGAAGCTGAGATAATTGAAACTTCTCGAATGAAATTCGAGATTGAATATTTGAAAAATTATAATAATCCTACCAAAAAATTAATACAATTTTCATTTTTAAAGAATAAATTGAAAGAGATGAGTGATTATCCATTTTACCGAATCATCTGCCTTCAATCTGCTGATCAAACAATTAATGTTTCTTCAGAATACAAGAAATTTAGAAACAAGATTGTAAATGAAATCTGTGGTTTTAAGATATCATTTTTAGAAGATGCATTCAAGATATATGATGCTCGATTTGACCAAAAGAGTGATGATTTTGATACTACATCTTTTGATCGATTAGGAAACTATGTTAATGACCAAATTTCAAAAAAAATAAAAGATGTACAGTATCCTCAGAAAGTTTATCATGGTTACACAAAAACAACATAATTTGTAATATGCAAATTTACAATATGAATACGTATATATCAGTAGTATAATTGTGTCAGTATTTTGCTACCATAGCCTCAATTAGTAATAACTTCGGCAATACGATTTGGCATACTATTTATTAAGTTCATTCCATTTCTCTAAAAGTGCTATTTTCAATGCTCTACATATTCTAGGTTTGGTTGTGGTTTTCGTTGCTGATTATTTTCCAGATATTTTTATAATTTGCGTATACAATATTATACATTTGCATAAATCAAGTTTTTTTTTCGTGTAACCATAATAAACTTTTTGAGGATACTGTACAATGGAAACAGGGGATTAAAATTAAAGAGAAAGATTTGCATAAAAAACTAATAATAGAAATTCCTATAGAATTCAAAAATTTCAAGCAATTAGTTTGTCTTAAATTAGGCAAAAATTATGAAAAATTTAAAAATCAAATAGCATTTATGTTAAGTGTTTTGGTTTGTAGTCAAACATTAAAGGAATATTATGGAATAGATATTAATACCTTTCTACACTTTCTCTTGATCAAATTCGATCTATTATATTTTTAACCAAAGTAGAAACATTTAATTAATTAGAAACAAGCAGATTTTTTGATAATGATTTTTTTTAAAACTTTAAACAATACTAACTCAATACAAACTTATTAAATTTAATAAAAATATTTTTTAAATTAATTC